AGGCCCGGGAGCCAGATCCGGCACAATTGCCTTCTAAATCTGGCCTGCAGACGGTCCGGGAATCAGCGTGTTTTTACATGAGTAGAACGTGTGCTTTTATTTAAAATGCATCTCTGGGTTATTTGTGGGGCATAGGAATTCGTTCATCCCCCCCAATATATAGTCTGGCCCCCACAAGATCTGAGGGACAGTGGACCGGCCCCCTGCTGAAAAAGTTTGCTGACCCCTGTATCTAGGATTTGCCAATTGTATCCATTTTGTGTGTGTCTGTTTACAGCTGAGTGCCTTTTGGATACCAATTAGCTAGCTGTTTGTGTGTCTGTTAGGTTTGACCTTTGTCTTCTCATAACTCAGATGGTGCTGATGTGGGTGAACTTCCGGCATGAACTTTGAAAATGCCAGAGTGGCACATCATTAGCGTAGTGCCCTGTGTGGGGTTGTGGAGCTGAAGGGCTGTCTGTTGATTACGACAGCAACATGTGTGATTGCTTGTTTGTGTGCTTGGCAAAGAGGGACTGTTGCCTAGAGATCCTCAGGCCAGTGTGGCAAAAATAGGGAAAAGACAGAGGACTGATTGTGTCAGCTCCACCCCTCACAGAGCGATCTCTTTCTGTAAGAAGGAATCTGCAGCACTCTTGGCATTTAGCCGTGATTATTCTGATGTCCCTTTGCTCTTACTGTTCAATTGGGAAAGCTACAAATACAGGTCAGTTGCCAGAAGACAATGTGAATCTTCAGATTCTTCAGAAAGAAGATGTCATGGCCAATTCTGCTTTTCAAAACAAATGTTAAAGCCAATAAATAAATAAATGTGTGTGTTTTCTTTGTGTGCAGCTGCTTCAGCTTGTAATCGATATCTAGGCAATAAACCACTTTAAAAAAATTAGAGCCCATCCCAATCGTCTTCTCCGCAAAATAGCAAATGAGGGATGCTGTGTGAGTGTGCTTAGTAGTTTCTCAGCATAGACCAGGGAGCTACATATGCTGTTTCCCCCTCCTCTTTATTGTGTTTTGCCAGTGCATTTGCTATCCTTGTTTGCAGCCAATTAAGAGTAGAATTAGACAACTATGCTTGATATCTGATGAATAATAAATAGCATCTCTCTCTGTGCTTCAGATATGCTCTTTGGGAGAAACCACTTCATGGAAAAGGGGGGGGGGATATAGTAATAAATAACCTGTAATGGATTCCTGGGAGAAGGCAATAAGCAACCCAAACCTTGAAATATTGAAGCAGTTCGAAATAACAAATACAGAACTGGGATTTGAATACAATGACTGCCTATTGTGCTTTTAGATCTATCTGGAATACAATGTTGCCTCAGCTCCCCCCACCATTTTTTTAGAATAGGTGTTGTCCTGCTTTACCTCTGTGGGCTGAGGAAAAATAGGAGGTATGGGGGTGACGGGGGGGGGGGTAAATGGCTGCTCCTCATGAATACTCTAAAGGCTTTAATAAGGCTGCCTGGAAATTTTATGCTGGAATCTGAGGAGGTAATTTTTTAAAAGTAAAAAGTGATATAAGCATGGATGTGTACATGACTGCAACCTCTGTTCCCTATGCACCGTAGCCTTTTTCAGGTGTTGCCTCTTGCACAATTACACTTGTGCGATGGTGGAAAGTGGGGCGCCAACTTGAATAAAACATTGTGGGGGCCCAGGTATGCCCTGCCCTACATAATCAATCACATAACACAGCACACACACCATTTTAATGGGAATTCCCATCAATTTTGTGGGGGCACGGCCCCCTCAAATATTTTATTGTGGGAACTGAAGCCCCTAGGAGTTGGCTCCTATGAAGTGGGGTCACACTTTCTGGCCCCGCAACTCTCTCACATCTCCATCCCCATTCCTGCAGCCTTTCATTTGTTGTAGGCTGCAGTTCTGCAGTGGGGAGCTTTCTCTAGTTGTGTAGAGACGCAGCAGGATTTAGACTACAGTGGTACCTTGGGTTACATATGCTTCAGATTACATGCACTTCAGGTTACAGACTCTGCTTACCCAGAAATAGTACCTCGGGTTAAGAACTTTGCTTCAGGATGAGAACAGAAATTGTGCTCTGGCAGCGCGGCGGCAGCAGGAGGCCCCATTAGCTAAAGTGGTGCTTCAGGTTAAGAACACTTTTAGGTTAAGAATGGACCTCTGGAACGAATTAAGTACTTAACCCGAGGTACCACTGTACGGATTTTCCAGGTTGTCTATGGAGCCTACATGAGTAGATTAGTCTCCCTCCTGCACAATTTATCCTTACAATGAAAGTTGCAAGTCACCCTTGTGTAAGGGGCATGTGGACTGGGTGATGAGGACGGAACAGAAGTGACAGGGCAGGGAAGTTCAACCTCCCTCTCCCTCCTTGCGCAATTGTCATCACACGAGGGGAAACATCTGAATAGGGCTTAACTGACAAACCTTCATTTTTCACATGTAAGCAAGCAAGTAGGAGTAGGAAGACGTTCAGCCAAAATCATTCCTTTTGAAAACCATTTCTTTAGAATGAAGGTTTTACCAACTAGTAAAAATAAAATAAAATGTCTGGACTTGAATGGGGTAAACATACCCAACCTGCCATGAAACAGTCAATTTTTTGGTTGCCACCCTCCATACCTCCTTCAGCAGATGTAAACAGAGAGTCATAGAATTATAGAACTGTAGAGTTGAATGATTTTCATGGTGATGTCAGAGTCTGATTAGATTCAAATGGAATCTTATTTTCATCTGAAAGAAGGGATAGTTACTCCTCATACCCCTTAACCATTCAGAAAAAAAACCACATAAGTATTTTCAATATTCAACAGAAAGAGGGAGTGGCAATGTTTTTGTTTCTGTTTGCTGTATTCACACCCATAAATACAGATGGGGGTATTGTTCCTCTAGCAGCCAGAGGCCACTTTTCAAAATAGAGGCTAAGAGTTAAAACATTGTTCTTTCCCAGTTCTGATTGTTTGTCTTCCAAGGATCAATCCTGTTTAAAGAGATTTGCAGACTCTGCTACATTATCTAAGAGGCTTAAAAAGTGAGTTGTGTTTGGGGAAGCTGTTGGTTTTTTGTGGCAGGAGATAAACGTCAAAAGGAAACAATTCTTTTTCTCTTGATATACAAGGCGATATATCATGTAAGAGTGCCTGATTTACTAAAGGGGGCATATTAATCTGACAGATATTACTGAATACAGCTATAACTTGATAAACATCAGCATGGGAAGCAACCAATTTATCTCGATATATTTCATGTAAAGCTGCTGTTGGGTGCATGTAGTCTATAAACTTATCTCTGAAAGTTGTCGGTTCTAGATGCATCTGAGAGTGTGGCAGGAACAGGCCGAACTACAAATGGAAGTGAAAATTGCTTTGCATTCATTCTCTGCTCCTTGCAGCTAAAATTCCAGGGCAGGGAAGGCAACGTCTTTGGGAAGAGGGCTGCATTTCCTGAGCACGATGGAGGTGGGTGGGGTACCACTAATTGAGCCCAAAGCCTGAAGGGTCCTATCCCTCTGTAACACACATCTTTGCATACAAATGATAGCCCCTCTCCCCCACTGAGCCTTTTCCCTCTCCCCTTGTCACTCGCTCACATAGACCAACACACCAACAGGCTCCTTCACCCAGTAGCCGGCTTGCCTCCAGCCTGCTGGCCTCCCTCCAGGCCCCAAGAACCAACCTGCAAGCCTCCACTGACACCCTGAGAAACAGAGAAAACTTTGTACCGCTGCTAATGAGAAACCAAGGAACCAGCAGGAAGGCAGCCAGTGTGCACATGACATAATCGTTTTTCCGGGTCATGTGGCCAGCATGACTAAGCCGCTTCTGGCGAAACCAGAGCAGTGCACAGAAACGTCGTTTACCGTACCTTCCCACCAGAGTGGTACCTATTTATCTACTTGCACTTTGACGTTCTTTCTGACTGCTAGGTTGGCAGGAGCTGGGACTGAGCAACGGGAGCTCACCCCGTCGCGGGGATTCAAACCGCTGACCTTCCAATTGGCAAGCCCTAGGCTCAGTGGTTTAGACCACAGCGCCAAAAAACAGACCTCAGGTATCTTGGATTCAAGGTCCTGAGCTTCTATGGAAGTTTGAATTGTTACGAGTATTTACTCCTTAGCAATTGAACGTGATGTTCTGCGTCTAGGAGATTTTGGACAATATCTCTGTTCAACCATTATCCATTACCACACTATTGTATTGCAAAAGCACTTGCATATGTGTGTGTGTGTGTGTGTGTGTGTGTGTGTGTGTAGTTTAGATTGGTGAATCTAACATTGCTTAATGTCAGTATTTGTTAGCAGTTACCACACAGCAGTAATTTGTCAAATATTTTAGATATCAGAACTATTGGAGGCCCCGCAAATGCAGATGGCATGGCTGTATGCTATTTATGTATGTATGTATGTATGTATGTATGTATGTTATAACCTGTTGAATCACAAAGGATCAGAAGAGTGGGTTGTAGTAAATAATCACATAAAGGTATGCTTTTAGATCCTTAAATTCCGAATGTACTGCTTAATTCCAGTCAAATTCTGCTTGATATCAGTAAAATGTAATTTTAGTAAGGGTGTTCATTGCTGGACCCCAAATTGTGCATGGAAAAAAAGAGAGAGTAAAAAATCTTAATAAATGAATATATGACTAATCTTCTATATGCAACAATCCCCCACTTTTTTTCTAGTTCTTTGAGACACTGAAAATTATTTCTCAACCTAATCTCACCGCTGACACTTCAATTTCAGTCCAGTTTCTTTCCCCCTTACAAGGGTACATAAGAGAGGATTCCCCTTCCCCCAATGTTTAAAGGTTTAAAGTCAATCTGTTTATGTATTTATGTACTTATGTGAAGTTAATCCGTTTATGTAGCCTGTTAATCTGTACTTATCTGGGCATGCTCAATATAGTGCTGTCAATGTGAGAGGTCTTTAGTAGGGCAGCAAAATAAACGAGCGCTTACAGGCTCTGTTACCATTTGTTTATAATGCTGTTTTGCTTTCTGTTTTGTGTGTCCAGAAATTCGTACCCAGTTGGTGGAACAGTTCAAATGCCTAGAACAGCAGTCTGAATCCCGGTTGCAGCTCCTGCAGGACCTCCAGGAGTTCTTCCGCAGAAAGGCTGAGATTGAACTGGAGTATTCTAGGAACTTAGAAAAACTTGCGGAGAGATTTTCTTCCAAGATTCGCAGCTCCAGGGAACACCACCAGTTCAAGTAAGCATATATGTTTCTATTTCTGAAAGGAGGCACAAGAGACCCAGACTTGTTGAATAAATGCAGTCTTCAATGTGATCTCAAAGTGATGGGCCTTTTCAGATGACTGATGGGAGCAGAGGTGGTTGAGGAAATGAAAAAAAACGTTAACAGAGATTCAGTTGGTTTCTTGGGTTTGCTGAGCTACTTATTTACAAACTTGTTAGTGTCTTTCCTACTTCTTTCAAAATAGTCTCTTTAAGGGTTGGCTGCTACTGTCAGTGTTTTGACAACGTGTTGGGCATGCCTGACATTCTGGTGGGTAAAGCTTGCATACATTGATATTGCATATTTATTTATAACCACAAAGTAATTCAGTTTGCATATTTAATGTTCCATATTTCAACCTGGAGTAATGAACATGACTGATCCTTTTTAGTATGTGCCTTTGAGGTTCTGAACTCTAAATGAACTAAGGATGTAGAAGAAAAGGAGGATATTAATACTGTCTAGTTTTGTAGCTCCTCAGTGGAATTTTTTACCTTCTTCTTGCCCCTGGCCATATTGGTTGTTTTTAGTTGGTTCCTTTTAATCTTTTTGACAATCATAGCTGCAAAGTACTTCCTGTGTTGTCATTGTCATTTGTCTGTTGGACATAATCCCTTGTGTCATTCATTTCCTGGTGATCTAAAATTTTTGAATGTGCAAGGTGAATGGTGATGGTCTCTCACTCCACTGTACTCCACCTCATTCTGAACTGCAGCTTGTACTGCTGAATTACTAAAATCCTATATACTTCATATTGCTAAATTCCCTATACAGTGGTACCTTGGTTCTCTAATGCATTGGTACTTAGACAACTTGGAATCCAAACACTGCAAATCCAAACACTGAAGTTTGTGAACTTTTTTCAGAAGCCGAACGTGCTCCGTTTTGAGTGTTACGCTTTTGATTTGAGTGCCACACTTCCGTTTTGAGTGTTACGCTGAGGTCTGTCTGTTTTTGCTATTTATTTTGTGTTTTTGTGGCTGTGTGGAACCCAGTTCAGCTACTCATTGATGGATTTTGTGACTGCAATACATTGTTTATTGCTTTCATTTTATGGATCAATGGTCTCGTTAGATAGCCAAATTCATGTTAAGTTGCTGTTTTAGGGGTTGTTTTTAAAAGTCTGGAACGGATTAATCCATTTTGGAACGCTTTGATTTTGGAACAGAATTCTGGAACGGATTAAGTTTGAGAACCAAGGTACCACTGTAATCTCTTTACTCTGATTCTCCTAGTGTAAAAATAGGTTTCCATATGTCATTGTTATTGGACTACAACTCCAGACAGCTTAGCAAATGATCAGAGAGCTGTTGTTCAATAATATCTGGGGCTTGAAGAACATTGGCCTTCTATTATTGTGGTTTGGAATAACAAAAAACTTTTTGGAGAAACTTGACACCTTGTCTTTTGACTACCTTTTGACCAGAACTCTCATTCTTGAGAAGTTAAGATCTGTAGCAGAGCCACCACCCCACTTGATAGGCCTCCCAACTCTGTTCTCATTGTTTGTGGAATGGCCTTCCTCAATAGGTGTCAGGGATGGCAGGGCTTGGATGTATGTGTGTTGGACACAAGGGGACTGGAAACTGACTTGGAGAGAGGAGAGGGGGCCAGCAATTTATGAGGGTCAGTGCCCACCAGGAGAAGGGTCAGAGCTATCAGGGATGGAGAGTGGAACACTGGACTTGTCAGAGGAGGAGGAGAGGATGATCAAGCAAGTGGGCGGCTGATTGAATCCCCACCATCTCCTGCCCCACTGTCTCCTAGAACCAGAAGAGGATTGAAGAGGGAAGAACAGTGGTGGCTGCTGTGCAGGTATCGTCTCAGGCTGCATGTGCATCCTGTGGGGGGGAAAGTACATAAGTTGATGGAGAGGGGCATGGTTTTCTATTTCTGCAGCTGTTCCAGAGGACACTGACTGGGAACAGCCACTTAGATGATAGAAGTTGTGTGCAAGTGTATTCAGAGTCCCATAGAAGCTACTGTAAGTGATTGCTTTTGACAATAAAGAATTAACTCCCAGCTATATTTGACTTGGGTGTGTCTAGGACAATAGGCAAGGCAGACACAAGCACTTTTATCTCTCAGAGGATAACAGGGTACGATCTTTCTTTTTGCCAAAATGCCACCAGTTTTTAAAGGTTCCATACAGTTTTTACAGTTATGTAGTCCCTTAAGTGTTTTGATTCCTAGCCCCTGTCCCAAGTTTTACTGATACCTTTCTACTTTACCATGTGTGTGTGTATGTAGGAGAAGAACTTGCCACCTTGAATATCTTGGAGAAAAGGTGGGATATAAATGTACAGTGGTACCTCTGGTTATGAACTTAATTCGTTCCAGAGGTCCGTTCTTAACCTGAAACCGTTCTTAACCTGAGGTACCACTTTAGCTAATGGGGCCTCCTGCTGCCGCTGCACAATTTTTGTTCTCATCTTGAGGTAAAGTTTTCAACCCGAGGTACTACCTCCAGGTTAGCGGAGTCTGTAATCCGAAGTGTTTGTAACCTGAGGTGTTTGTAACCCGAGATACCACTGTAGTAATAAATGCATGTAGCAGACAGCCCATGTTGGTCATGTGCACATGTTACATTTTTAGGTGTATAAAACATACTGAGCTGGGTCCAGATTTTGCTTCCAACGGCAGGAGCACACCCTGAGCAAAGTTCTGCTCATGGGATGATCCCACTAATGGAGAAAGGGGAGGTCATTTCTGCTGATTTCACCCCTTGTTTTGCAGTTCCTAGTGTCACCTCCCAAATTGTTTGAGAGGGGTTTTTCGGGGGAAGGGGAGGTGGACCTTCTGGAATATTGTGTGAGGTGGTGCTTGGGTCAGCAGGTGGTGGTGGGAAATCAGGAAAATGCACCCCCCCACCATCAGCCGTGAAAGGAAGGAGCTTTCTATCTACAGCAGGTGAAGTCTTGGTCTAACCCAATTTATAGAGTAGACTGGGTGCTTATTTACAAAACTGTAGGTCTAAGCTGATCAACTCATTCACTTCCCCTATTTTTAAAATTTTTTTATTATTATTTAATTTTAGGAGATAAATGGTATAGAGAAAGATATGCAACACCAAATAGACAAAAATAACAAGTTGCAGCCTCTTTATTTATTAAATGTATATGCTGCCTTTCCTCACAAAGGAGCCCAGGGTAGCAAACAACAAACATGTTGCTGTCTTCCAATCTAGTGATTACCAAAACGCAAATGATTGGGGTTATATCATTCCTTCCTAAGAAAAGAGATGGTTGCGAAACCAATCAACCCGATGAAAAGCATACCTAATCACTTGAGCATCCAGAAGGAGCTGCTCAGGATATGAACCTGTGTGTTAAGGAGGAGTGTAACCTATCCAGTGCAAACTGGATAATTTTTTTATTTTGTTTCAACTACGGCAGACCAACACGGCTACCTACCTGTAACTATCCAGTGCAGGTTGCTCACCTAACTCTGGATTAAATTATCCCCCAACCAGTAATGCTTCCTCCTTTATCCAGCATACACTTTGGGCTTTCCTTCCTTATGTAAACCATCCTTAGCTAGTGGTCTAAATAGTGGAGGCGGCAGAGTGAAATGAAAAGAGGGACCGAAACCTAATGGGCTAGAAATCCTTACGAGACCCTTTAACTCAGTGGTTGTTGTTGCAGATGAAAAGCAAAGACAGCTCATTGTGGCTCCATTCATTTTGGCAGCCAGATGGAGCTAAGAGTAGCATCTGGCGAATGGATTGAACAGGCCCTGGAACATACTGTGAATGTTGAACTAATTATTACTAAGTCCCCAAGCAAAAGCAGCTGGAGGGTGCTGGCTCCTCTATGCTAATGGGAAAATGGGGGCTGTAAGTGAAGGTGTGTAAGCAGGGGCAGGAGGAAGACTCAGAACTATTGTTTAGATGTTGAACTTAATTTTGCATTAAGAAAAATAATTACATGTTAGAGAGAGATGGCTTTTTATGTTTTATGCATTTTGCTTACTACTTTCCCCTGATAGCTACTTGACAAGGTTGTTTATAAGACAGATTCGTTCTGAGGTTTATCTAATGAAAGCCTTGTATGTTGTTCTGGTCCCTTACCCTTTTCACCGATTGCTTATGTAAAGAATGATTATCATTTAGTGTAGGAGAAAATGTTCCAAAAGAAGAGCAGCTTGAATACTATGGGACTAGACAAAGCTCAGTTGATTTGCCACATAAGGCAAATCAGAGGCCTATTTCATATTTTTAAGTCAATGAAAGAAAATCCTGCTTTCAGTCCTATAAATTTATTTGTAAAGAACCTCCGTGTCTGAAAATGCAAAACATAGTTTGAGTGGTCTGTGAGCTGTATCAAAGTGGTTTTAAGGCCGCTTCAGACAGAAAATCTTAAGTATTGTTGGAGTGAATGAGTAGTATAATGGAAGATCAGAACAATTTGTTTTTATACAGTCCTTCATTCCATTTGCCAAACAAAGAGGCCTGAGTTCCACAAATGCTGTGAGAGGCCTTGCCTTTGCAAAGCATAGTGGCCTTTGTTAGGAAAATAGTCGTCTTTTAATGCTCTGCAGTGTTGCGGTTTAAATTGCAGAAGCTTTGGGGTGGAGTGTGTTGTGTGCGTCTGATTTCTCCTGTACGTGATTAAAGCCACGCAGAAGATTAGAACAAGGAAGTGTGGTTGTCATAGCAAACAACTATATTTATTTTATTTCAAGCACTTTTATCCTGCCTTTCCATTCCAAAACATTTTCAAGGCAACTTCTCTTTTCCTTCAAAGAAATTGTTTGTTCATCAGCAACATTATCAGGTACAAAGACCACGGCATGAGTTTCAAATTCAAGATCTGTCCTGGAGAGAAATGTGAAAACACCACTATTCTTGTCCTTGTTTTCCAACCTAGTGACATGGCACACCTGGGTTTGCTTCTTTTAAAAGAGCTTCTTTTCATAAGTCTAAACCTGTTGTGGTGCTTCATTTTCTAACCTTCCTTTAGAGGAAGCTATAG